CAGCCCGCCCTTGGCCCGTGAGCCCCCGCCACTTTTTTTTTTTTTGACTCTTAAGTTGTTAGTTTGATACTTTGTTCATTTTTACCACTTGTACACTCTTAAAATATTTAAAATAACTTGTTGCATAACTAACATAAGACATAGTTCATCAATCATTGGACATTACAAATACAGAAATATAATTTTAAAGTTCATAGACTAAAATTTTAAAACATTAAATTATGATATAGGATTATGGTTATTACTTATTATGTTATAGTTAGATTTTACCTAGATTGTGAAATTTTCTAGGAGTATTTGGTAACGACTTTTGATACAAATTTTTCCAAATATGAAGTTCAACAAGTCTAGAACATATACACAAAAATTGTCATATCAATCCAAGGCCTAGAAGTAACTTTCTCGAATTTTTCCCTTAAACTGCGTCAGACAGAATTTTCTAGACAGCACAATGCGAAGAACTTAACGGAATTTTCTGTGATTACTAGAACATGTTGTCCAGACAAACTTTTTTTGGATATCAAGTTATATAAGTGTAGGTTTTCCAAAAAAAAAAAAAAAAAAAAAAAAAAAATCAAGCAAAAAGGAGTCCAGGAAGTATTTTTTTTCCAAATTTATTTTTTCCGGCTGCGCCAAACATAATTTTCTCGGATAGTAAAATATATTTTTTATGGCTATTTTTTCTAGATCAGACACCTAAAATGGTTTCCTGGCGGGAAACTTCTGGAAAACCAATCTAGGCGACTGGTTTCTACAATTTTTTTTTTTTTTTTTGCAATATCATTGAATTAAAATGTTGAAGTATACAATTCTCTGCATTTTCCTGCTCATTTTTCAAAAAATGAATCAAATACAAAAAGATAGTTTTCCATTGTGCAGCCTAACACTAGAAAGGAAAACGTTTTCTGAAAATGACTCATTTTTCAAAAAACATTTTTCAAAAGTTATTTTACTGATTTCCAAATGGAGCCTTAATTAGTGCTGCCGAAATAATTGTAATGTTTTAATTGGACACTAATTTGGTAATATTGCCGTTAATGTTATTATATACTAAAGTGTACATTATAGGTTACTATTATAATAATAATAATAATTATTATTATTATTGGTACCATACAAATTTATATTTAGAATAGTATTTATTTGTGGACAAGATTTTGTGAATTCATTATGAAACCTAGCGTTTTGTACGTGCAATATGCAAAAATTCATGGCCAATATTAATATATTGAAAAATAATAAAAATTTTAATTCGAATTGTATGTCACAATTTTTTATAAAATTTATATATTCAAAACAATAAAATAAAATAAATAAATAAATAATAGGGATAAGATCTGGTACAAAGAGTCTCCTAAGTGAAACATGCGGTGAGATCTGAGTCGTTGATCAAATCTAGATCAACGGCTTAAATCAATGAAAATTTAAAAAAAAAAAAAAAAAAAAAAAAAAAAAAAAAAAAAAAAAAAAAGACACGCGTCTTGGAAGGTAGAAGCTTTGTAAAAGACTAAAAGTGACGCACCTTAAGTGTTACAAAGACGCACCTTAGGTAGTAAAATCACGCACCTTAATTGTTAAAATGACGCACCTTAATTAAGTTTCAACAATAACGCACCTTAAGTTCTCACTTGTAGAACTGACGCCACTTAAGTGTTAAAATGACGCACCTTAAGTGTTAAATAACGCACCTTAAACTTTGAAAACACACACCTTAAAGCTTTCAACAATAATACACAAAATTACAATAATATCATTGCATTTTTTTTAATGTGTTCAATCTATACATTCTCTTTTAAATGGGAGGAATGGACTTGCTAACTTTTTCAAATACAGAGACACGAGAGACAATTCATGAATACCAACCCTCATTCGTCCTTATAAATTGTTATAGATTATAGATATAGATTAGATCTATGCATATAATCATATGTAAACACTCCTTAATGAGCTCACATATAGAACTTATATCAAGATGAAATTAAAGTGCACTACATATACTATTAAAATGAGTATTTTTCTTGACTGGTTTACATCATTGTCATCAATTATTGTAAGGATAACAAGGTGAGATTTACCATTGCACAACCTACCTCAAATAGTGACAACGAGTTTCCCTCGTCAAAAAAAAAAAAAAAAAAAGGTGTATTTGATTCGAATATTGGAATAGAATGATAATGAAAATCAAATATTTGGTAATGGTAATGATAATGCTAATGGTAATGGTTTAAGTAGAATGAATCCATTTGTTTGGCAGTAAAAGGAATAGGAATGAAAATAAATCGATAATTAAATTATTTAAATAAAATATATAATACAGAGATATACACATACATATATTAAAATTCTATATTAAATGCATAGACAATATAATGACCTTTAATTTTATTTTTATTTTTTTTTTCATTTTTTCTCCTTTATTTTTTATTTTATTGTTCAAAAGTAGATTTGATTGTAAAAGGGTAATGGATTTTGTAATTACCAAAGGATTGATTCAAATAGTAGAATAACAAAAGTAGGCAAACAAATATGATAATAGGTATTAAAATCTATTGCAAAAGTCCCCAACCAAACATACCTAAGTAATTTTCAACATAACTTATTCCATTCAAGTATACTTAGCTTTTTGTTACATATATAATGTAAATTTATTCTAACCTGAGGGGTGGAGTTGAGTAGAAGGGTTTCATTCATCCTTAACCAAATGTTAGGAGTTTGATCTTTAGCTTTGGATATGAAGCAATTTTAAATATAATGTCCATATTAGCTATCCCACGATGATGAAAATCCTAGTTACATCTAAAAAAATGTAAATTTATTCTTTTTATAAAATATTGTTTGAATAAACTTAAAGAAAAGAGGCTTTAAAAAAGATGTTTCCTTATTCCCAAAAGCTATGGCTACTATTTTGGGAATCTCATAAAATTTAGTACGTATAAAGTGGTGATCGAAAAATGACTTATTTTAAAGCTCTTTATTCAGCCTTTATTTAGTCTCATACGATGTTCTAACATCATGTATTAGTTGGAAAGCTTTCTTGCTCCAAACTTTATAGTTTGTTCCAAAGCATTCTCTTTCAGATGTCAGGAAACTTTGGGATTCTTTAAAGGAGTTAATTTCATTTATGATCCTAGATTTATAGTTGAAAGTCCACTTTTTGTCCCTTTTAATCAGAACATTTTTTTTTGTCATAGTATTATTGTGGCATGATCATTTTTTATCCTCTATCAACAAAATCGTTGAAATGTCATTAAATATATTGATATTTTGATCTTTTTAATACAAAATGCGTTGACCCATTATATTTTTTTATATATGTTTATTTAAAAAAATTATAATTGAAGATCAAAATGCCCTTGTATTTAATGAAATTTAAATTATTTTGTTGATAGAGAACTAAAAATGATCATGCCACAATAATACTAGGATCAAATGAGGATGTTTAAAAAAAAAAGACTAAAAATGAATTGACACCTATAAATCTAGAACCAATAATGGAATTAACTCTTCTTTAAAGAATTTTTACTACTTGTTGTGGAAGTAATTTAATTGAAATTTGAAAAGTTAGTAGTTGAAATTTGAAAAGTTAGTAGTTGAAAGTTAAAAATTGATAATAAGTTAGTTAATTGAATTAGAAGTGATTGAATAGTAAAATTAGTTGTACGTTAAGAAATGTGATGAACGACAAAAGTCTAAAAATGACATTTATATATATTATATATTATTATGATAATTTGAATGTCTGTGTATAATACAATATATATTATAGGAAAATTTATGTGTACATAATTAATATTAATATAATAATATATAAAAAAATGCCTTTTTAGTCTCTGAATTGTGACATTATGGATAACTCAGTCTCTTATTAATCGTAATTGTAATCATATTTAGTTGCTGATTAAATTGTTTGTTTGGTGGCCTTTTCAATCCTCACCTGATTGGACTTTTTTTTTTTTTTGGTACATATTAAATTCTATATAAATATCTCCAACTCAATTTCTTGCTTTCAACTTCAAGCTTTAACATGTCATTTTCATTTTCACTTTTATCAAGCCTCTTCGATAGCTTTCATATTACCTTCACAACATGCTTGAAAACATCTGGATTAATCCATATAAACACTCCACAATACTCTTTCATTTAACAAATACAAAATCTAGCCTGAGAAATTTGTATTAATCACTTTTCAAAATTCTGAATAATTCAAATGATAACTGAAGTATTCACATTATAGAAAATAAACACTTACTATATATCGTGGGCATGCTTAAAATTATTTACTGATATTAACACAACTCCAAGACATTCTAATTGGTAGTGTCTCTACACTAAATTCTTCATAATTTAAAAAAAAAATATACTATTTGAAATTTGAAACATCTTTTAATCAATTAAACTTTGAACATATGGTAACTTGCTTGGAAGATGGATGTTCAAATTTTCAGAGCAAAAATTACCTCAATATTGGCAGATAAAAGGAGTATGTTATGTATGACGGTTGGGGCAGCGAAGAGAGAAAAGAGATAGCTAAAATTGTATATTATTGCCCCTTTAATTTATCAATTATTGCAAATTAACATTAGGTTTTAATAGATATTTGATGTGGGAACTAAAAAAGTCACCCACTGAACAATTCAATGACTAAATATGACTATAGTTATAATTAAAGGATTGAGTTGTTCATTATATATGTTACAAAAAAAATGACCGAGTTGTTCATTATGTTATAATTAAGGGATTGAGTTATAAGCTAGAACTTATGTTGAAATGATATAAGAAGCAACGTTTTAAAATAAGTTATTATTTTAAATTAGAAAAAAAAAATATTTTAGTCTTTCCGTTATATTCACAATACAGTATTAGTCGTTGAGTTATATGTGTGATCATCTTTAATTCAAGTTATGCGCAAAGTGGTGATTTTAGTCACTCGGTGACTATTTATGGTGGCTTATTTGGTCTTTCATGGACTAAAATTGTCACTTTGTGCATAACTTAGCTAGGGGGTTAAAGATGATCACACATATAACTCAAGAACTAAGTTTGTACTACGAGCATAGCTGAAAAACCAAAATTGCAATTTTCTCATTAATTATATTTCATTTTTTACCAAACAGAAGTTAGTTTATTTGTAAATTAAAATAAGATATAAACTTCTAAATAAGCTCTAATAAACATGACTTTAATCTATAAACCTAGCTTAAGTATACGTAATTATGAATATTCTTTTATGATGCATTATTTCAAAATAAGAAACAACTTATTATATGCATGCAACATACTCCATATATGTTTAATTTGGAGTTCTTGTTCATCTTTTTATCTTTTTTGGAAAAATTATCCACTTCATATGTTAATTAACTACTAGTGTTTCTTATTTGAAAAATAAAATATATGATAGTATAAGACATTTAAGAAAATCACACTAAAAATATATATACTCCAAAAGAGACAACTCTATTAATGGAGTGCTTTTTTCCTTTTTTTTTTTCTTTTGTATTTCTCTGAAAAATATTCGGAGAGATATACCCAAGCCACTTGCTTAGGCATCACTATTATATTCCTTCTCAAAATGTATGACATTTTGTTTGACGCTCATTATGTTATGTACAATATTATTATATTATCTATCATCTAATGTGATTTTACATAATAACTTGTGGTGGGTCTACAAGTAGATAAAGAATATAAATCAATTATAACGCATACTATATATCACATCATTGATGAAAATATCTAATGAAACATCTTTATCTAAATAAGTATACAACATTCTTTATACTATATTATACATTTGCCAAGCACCTTGTCTCTCCCACGTGGGAGGTCATGACTCAATGAAGGCATTTTTTAACTCTGTGTGAGTAGATACAACAATGTAATACAGTCAGTAGCATTCAAAAAATACTATATTATATATTTAGAGAAAATCCTAAAGTGTTAGATTGCACAAATTACAATTAAAAGTGAATGCAAAATGTTTTAAAATCTAAACTAGATTTTATCGGGTGAATGAATTATTTGCAAAATATTTTAAAATCTAAAATAGATTTTTTATCGGGTGACTGAATTACAATTAAAAGTGAATGCAAAATGTTTTAAACTCTAAACTAGATTTTTTATCGGGTGAATGAATTATTTGCAAAATATTTTTAAATCTAAACTAGATTTTTTATCGGGAAACTGAATTATTTACAAGATTTGGTTGGAAGAATGAAATTAGAGGGGAAAGAAATATAATTCCTTTGAAAATAAATAAGGTAAGAATAAAATAGGAATTTAAATTCTATCATTTGATTGGCATGAATAAAACTACTGAAAATAAGTTATATAAAGACTAAAATGTCATTATAAAATATTAATTAATAAAGGCTTGTGTAAGGTTAACAAAACAAAAGGACAAACAATGAAAAAGAGGTGTGGAATTGGGATGGAATTTCTATTCCAAGGGGAGGCATAGGAATTTCTATTCCATGAAAAGGAAGAATCGCAATTTTGTAGACTTTCAATTCCCTGAAATAAACAATGGAATTTTTCAAGCTCAAAAGATTATATCGAAAAGGAATTACAATTTCATTGTACCAGTATTGATTGATGTGTATATTTTTTTGTGTTAAAAAAAAAAAAGTTAATTGGCTATCCATTTGAATTCCGAACCATTTGGAACTGTTGATGATAAAATAATACATAACACATCAGAATTCAGAATTCTCATCTTTCATGCCCTGGCCTGAATCCTGATACACAGGCCAAGCAAAAAAAAAAAAAAAAAAAGTTGTATAAATCTGTAATCATTTGTCAATATATTTCTATTAAAATTAAAGAAAAGAACACCATATATCCTATATATAAAGATTGCATTTTTTTTTTTTCTGCTAATTCTAGAACTAAAACAGAAGCAATTCAAGAAGACATGATAAGAATTGAAGAACTAGCTAGCGCAAGCTTCCGTTCTTGCCGGAGGAGGGATGAACGCGGAGTCGAGATCAGGCGGGTTGAAGAACAAGCTTCCATTAATATTATTCTTGGGCTGGTTGCGCCGCCGTCTGCGCTTCTTCCTCGGCGCCGGCGGACACACCGTCGGCTCCGGTATTCGACACTCCGGGTTCTTCGGCGTCGTGCATTCGCCGTAGTCTTCCGTCGTCGTCTCCATCTCAAATCTCTTCTCCCAGACGACCTGGAATGAATGAATGAATGAATGGGGCTATTTATAAGTGAAAGAAAGAAGGCCGTTTGTTCAACTCTCTCGTTCAAAGGGATTTGGATTGTATTGTGACAGTGAAGAATGGGGTGGCACCGACTTATAAAAAGGGGGGAATGGATTGATGGGGAATGGGTTGGTAAACGGTGGACCCATTCTTATAAATTGTGTGAATAATATTTCAATAATCATTCAAAATACCATATTTGGCATCCATCCTCATTTTATCTGCTCTACTACTCATTTTACCTGTTATATTTATTACTTTATCTGTTCATTTTATGAGCAAATTATGCTCTGAGCACGTTCCCACCATGCACGTGGTGTGCACGAATCTATATCCATAATCTCTAGAATTTTGGTGAGTTAAAATTTATATCGTAAACGAAATAGTATTTTTATAATTAAGATTAATTAACAAGTTAATAAATAAAAAGTAAAATTAAATTATATGTATTAAATATCGTAGCATGAAATGTTACGTGTAATAAGTTTGGGGTAAGAAAAAGTGGGGCACAGATGACCGCGTCTTGGAATAATATTCTTTAAGATTTGTGGTACTACAAATCTACAATGACCCTATCATTGGATTCCATTCCAATTATTAAAATATCATTTCAACAAAAATCATTATTCCTTGATTTTCTTCTTTAATCCATTAATGCTCTTAACGTTGCCAATTTGGACATTCCATTGACCACTCAATCATACTTGATAGTATTTTATGTTTCAGCAATTAAAATTTATCTGATTATCTATGACACATATTTTTAATCTAATTCACGCGACTCATGCTTACTAGTTACACATATTACATGTGATACATTATAAATACATTATGAAAAAAAAAACATACACACTCATTATGCATAATTTAAGATGGAGCATCACATGTTTTTTCCTCTATTATTTTGTTTTAATAAATCTCGTTACTGTAATTTGCAACTTTCAAGTTTATCATTCTATTTGTTCTATTTTACCTGTCAAGTTCATAGAATCATAGGTCAAATCAATTCCTTTTCTCTTATTTTATTATAATTTTTAAATTTCACCTTTGTTTTTAATAATTATTTTAAATTTTAATATAATTATTAAATATATAAATTTTATAGGTTAATACTAAATTAATATTACAAAAAAATTTGAATTATAAATGATTTCAGACAAGCCATATTTATTAAACCATATATATAAATTGGGACAGATTGGATAATTAATTACATATGTGATATGTATGTAATTGTTGATAAGATTATTACATACAGATGCAAATAGAATTGAAACTTTAAAAAAAATATATATCACTTTATTGCTGTTTTTTCTTTTTTTATATCTTTGGATTCTTTAAATAAAATACGAGCCTTATTACATAAGTTCTCATTATCTATTCCTTAGATTATACACCTTTGTATGACGAGGATTACAAGTAATAATATTTTTGTTTTCTTTTGTTTTTTTCAAGAAAAAAGACTCCATAAAGAGAGTTTAATTAGATATAGAAAGTAGAAAATAAGAATCTATGCAATATTTAAGTAATTAAAAATTGGTCTCTTATAATAAGGTTTGGTCAAACTTGTGAGATGCGTCAACTTCAACGTACACCTTCATTAGAGGTGAAGTCAACACAATGGCCTGTCACCCTTTCTCTTTCCATTTTCCATTATTATGGTTAATTAGTGGTCCAACCCTGAAACACAACAGACCAAAATAATAATAATAATAATAATAATAATAATAATAAAAATTATTATTATTATTATTATTATTATTATTATTATTATTGTCAAGGCGAATTGGCCTAAAACGGCAAATTATATCGTGCACCATGGTGCACAATATATTGTGCGCTCTAAAAGTTTATATATATATTATGTTAATAGTTTATGCGTATTATATTAAAAGTTTATGTGTACTATATTAAGACTTTATGTGTATTATGTCAAAAGTTTATGTGTATTATGTTAAGAATTTATGTGTATTATGTATTATATATGTTAGATTATATGTATTATGTATTATGTTAGATTATGTTTATTATGTTAGGAGTTTAGGTGTATCCTACTATACAATTATATATATACTAAACATGAAATTTTTAGGGCGCACAATGCATTTTGCACCCTGATGCAAGATATAACAATTGGCCTAATACATTTTCTCTTTACATTTTCCACTGTTCTTCTTCTTTGATCTACATACAATACATGCATATATACAATACATACATTGATACAATACATACATATATATATATATATATATATAATCTTAATAAGAGCTAATAAAGTTAAATCTGAGAAAAAAAATATTAATGTAATTATTTACTCAAACAACATCAGTCATTCTTCTTTAATTTCAATTTTAGTATGTCTACGTAAAAAAGAATTGTAATACACCAGAAAATAAAATTAATTATAGTCAAAATGAATGTAAATTAGGAATATAATAAACTTGCACAAATGAACTTGTCTTATATTAAAAGTTAATATGCAATATATTAAATAAAATTATAATTCACTAAAACTGAACCTATTACCACCCAAAATGCTTTCATACTATATGGTAGTTGGCGTTTTAAATATGAATATATAATATAACAATAAAATAAAACTAAAAAATCATGTCATGTTAAACTAAAAACATAAATTAACATTTACAACTAAGTAACAATAAGAAACAAATAAACAATTATAATGCAAGTAAACATTACTTCTACTTCGTAAATAACTAAATATATAATTTCATTAAATAATTTATATTGATTGAAAACAAATAGTATTTTAAAAATTAAAATTAATTAACAAGTTAATAAATAAAAAGTAAAATTAAATTACATGTGTTAGATACTGTAGCATAAAACAGGACCTGTCATAAGTTTGGAGTAGGAAAAAGTGGGGCACAGATGACCGCGACTTGGAATAATGTTCAAAGGAAACGACACCTACTTTGCTTGTGATAATTTTCTGAAGGAGAAGGGTATTCAACACCAAATGACAGCCAGATACACTCCACAATAAAATGGAGTGGCTGAGAGGAAGAATAGATCTATCATGGATATGGTGAGGTGCATGTTGAAATCCAAGAATCTGCCTAAACCTTTTTGGGCAGAAGCTGTTGCTTGTGCTGTCTATGTGTTGAATAGGTGTCCAACTAAAAGTGTCCGTGATAAGACACCCGAAGAAGCTTGGAGTGGGAGAAAACCCTCTATCAAATATCTCAAGATTTTAGGATGTTTGGCATATGCACATGTGCCGGATCCGTTGAGAAAGAAGTTGGATGATAAAGGTGAGAAGTGCATATTCATTGGTTATAGTGATGCTTCAAAGGCTTATAAACTATACAATCCTGAAACTAAAAAGGTTGTTATAAGTCGTGATGTCACTTTTGATGAATATGGTGCTTGGGATTGGTTAGCTAAAGATGAAAGTTCAGTTGTTATTCCTGTTGTTGAAAATATTGTTGATGAGCAACCGATTCCAGATAATGTCCAGTCTCCTTCACAACCAGAATCGTCAGTTCGACGATCTCAGCGCGAGCACCACTTACTAGCTCGCTTGCAAGATTATGTTTTGGGTCATGATAATGACCTGTCTGATGAAGAGATTATTCAATTTGCTCTCTTTGCAGATTGTGATCCTTTAACTTTTGAGGAGGCTGCTACAGAAACTCATTGGCTTAAGGCGATGTATGAGGAGATACGTGCCATTGAAAAGAATGGTACCTGGGAGTTAACAGATTTACCTCATGGGAAGAAGCCAATTGGAGTAAAGTGGGTATACAGAACGAAATACAAGTCAGTATATCCAACTTGAAGACGGAGACATTTTTTAAATTGAAGAAGGAAATTGGGATGACCAATATATCCAATTTGGTTTAAAGGAGACAATGTTATAATAATATTATTATTATAATTGTTAAACCAAGGATTAATTAGTTTGTTGGAAAATAATTAATAAGTGGTCAGCATGGCTTTGCACTTCGTGGAGTGTGAAGCACTTTATGAAGACATGGAGTATTTCATGGGCATATATAGCATGAAGTAGTACATGGAGTCCTGATGTATTACATGGGCTTAATTTTAGGATTTTAGTTTCTTTCATTCCTTATAAATAGTTGGCAAATGTATGCTAAAGTCGTAAGCGAAAAACATTTTATTCTATTCCTATCTCTCTCTTCCTCTCAAGTGTGTATATATATATATATATATATATATATATATATATATATATATATATATATATATATATATATATATATATATATATATATATATATATATACACGTATATAGATATATTATATATAATATATATATCTTATATAGATATATTATTATTTAATATATCTTACAATGTGCCAAAATTAATATTAATATAATAACGTATAGAAAATGTCCTTTTAGTTTATGAATTGTGACATTATGGATAACTCATCAGTCGCTTATTAATTGTAATGATGGCCTCATTTAGTCGTTAAATTGTTCGCTTGGTAACCTTTTTAATCCTCACTTGGTAGTCATTTTAATCCTCACCTGATTGGACTCATAATAATTTTTTTTTTTTTTTTTGTACAAAATCAAACTGTACTCTATATAAATATCTCCAACTCACTCCCTTGCTTTCAACTTCTAGCTTCAACATGTCATTCTCATTTAATCATTTTCACTTTTATCAAGCCTCTTCAATAGCTTTCATATTACATTCACAACATGCTTGAAAACATCTGTATCAATCCATATAAACACTCCACAATACACTTATATTTAACAAATACAAATTCTGGCCAGAGAAATTTGTATTAATCACTTTTCAAAATTATGAATAATTCAAATGATAACTAAAGTATTCACATTATAGAAAATAAACACTTACTACATATCGTGGGCATGCTTGAAATCATTTACTGATATTGACACAACTCCAAGACATTCTAATTGGTAGTGTCTCCCTGCATTTACACTAAATTCTTCATAATTTTCAAAAAAACATACTATTTGAAATTTGAAATATCTTTTAATCAATTAAACTTTGAACATATGATTGTAACTCACTTGGAAGATGGATGTTCAAATTTTCAGAGCAAAAATTACCTCAATAGTGGCAGATAAAAGGAGTATGTTGTGTATGACTGTTGAGGCAGCGATGAGAGAAAAGAGATAGCTAAAAATTTTACATTATTCCCCCTTTAATTTATCAATTATTGCATACTAACATTAGGTTTTAATAGATATTTGATGTGGGAACTAAAGAGTCACCCAGTGAACAATTCAATGACTAAATATGACTATAGTTATAATTAAAGGATTGAGTTGTTCATTATGTTAAAAAAAAAATGACTGAGTTGTTCATTATATTATAATTAAGGGATTGAGTTATAAGCTAGAGCTTATGTTGAAATGATATAAGAAGCAGTGTTTTAAAATAAGCTATTATTTTAAATTAGGAAAAAAATTATTTTTGGTCTTTCTGTTATATTCGTGATACAATATTAGTCCTTGAGTTATATGTGTAATCATCTTTAACTCAAGTTATGCGCAAAGTGGTGATTTTAGTCACTCGAAAACTATTTCTGCCATCAATATGCCATTTAATAAAGTGGCTTATTTGGTCTTTTATGGACTAAAATGGTCACTTAGCTTTGTGCATAACTTAATTAGAGATTAAAGATGATCACGCATATAACTCAAGAACTAAGTCTATACAACGCGTATAACTGAAAAACCAAAATTGTAATTTTCCCATTAAATTATATTTCATTTTTTACAAAACAAACTTATAGTTTATTTGTAAATTAAAATAAGATATAAGCTTCTAAATATGCTCTAATAAACATGACTTTAATTTATAAACCTAGCTTAAGTATACTTAATTATGAATATTCTTTTATGATGCCTTATTTCTAAATAAGAAACGACTTATATGCATGCACCATACTCCATATATGTTTAATTTGGAGTTCTTGTTCATCTTTTTATCTTTTTTGGAAAAATTATCCACATTATAAGTATGTTAACTACTAGTACAGTGTTTCTTATTTGAAAAATAAAATATATCATATTATAAGACATTTAAGAAACTCACACTAAAAATATATATACTCCAAAAGAGACAACTCTATTATTGGAGTGCTTTTTCCTTTTTTTTTACTTTTGTATTTCTCTGAAAAATAATCGGAGAGATATACCCAAGCCACTTGCTTAGGCATCACTATTATATTCCTTCTCAAAATGTATGACATTTTGTTTGACGCTCATTATGTTATGTAAAATATTATTATACGGAGTATTATCTATCATCTAATGTGATTTTACATAATAACTTGCGGTGGGTCTACAAGTAGATAAAGAATATATTTTTTTTTTTGAAAGCAAGTAGATAAAGAATATAAATCAATTATAACGCATACTATATATCACATCATTGATGAAAATATCTAATATAATGAAACATCTTTATCTAAATAAGTATACAACATTCTTTATAGTATATTATACATTTGCCAAGCACTTTGTACTCAGATGGCATGTAGTGACCTCTCCCATGTGGAGGTCATGAGATCGAGCCTCAATAAACAGATACAACAATGTAATATAGCCAGTAACATTCAAAAAATGTTGCACTAATTATGATTAAAAGTGAATGCAAAATGTTTTAAAATCTAAACTAAATTTTTTATCGGGTGAATGAATTCTTTGCAAAATATTTTAAAATCTAAACTAGATTTTTTATCTGGTGAATGAATTCTTTGCAAAATATTTTAAAGTCTAAACTAGATTTTTTTATCGGGTGAATGAATTTTTTACAAGCTTTGGTTGGAAGGAGGAAATTAGAAGGGGAAAGAATTATAATTCTCTTGAAAATAAATAAAGTGATAATAAAATTAGAATTTAAACCCAACGGAGTAGCTCAAGTGGCAAATGAGCTCTCTTTGTAGGGGAGAATTTTGAGATAACCCGAGTTCGATTTTCACATGTGACGATCCCCTTTGGGTTAGCTTTTGTGCCTTCCGGAGCGAACGGGGTGGACTTGGACCGTTAAATGGGGGAGAATTCCGAGATAACCCGGGTTTGATTCCCACAAGTGATGATCCCCTTTGGGCCAGCTTTGCCTTCCGGACCAGGAGAATTCCGAGATAACCCGGGTTTGATTCCCACAAGTGATGATCCCCTTTGGGCCAGCTTTGCCTTCCGGACCGAACCGGGTGGACCTGGACCGTTAAACGAACAGAGAAAGACCCGGACCACCAAAAAAAATAATAATAATAACATTTAAATCTCAATGTTTGGTTGATAAGAAAAATCCTAAAGTGTTAGATTGCACTAATTACAATTAAAAGTGAATGCATGCAAAATGTTTTAAAATTAAACTAGATTTTTTATCGGGTGAATGAATTCTTTGCAAAATATTTTAAAATCTAAAATAGATTTTTTATCGGGTGAATGAATATTTTACAAGATTTGGTTGGAGGGAGAAAATTAGAAGGGGAAAGAATTATAATTCTCTTGAAAATAAATAAGGTGATAATAAAATTAGAATTTAAATCTCAATGTTTGGTTGATATGAATAGAATTAGTGAGAATTAATGATATAAAGACTAAAATGTTATTATATATAATATTAATTAATAAAAGCTTGTGTAAGGTTAACAAAACAAAAGGACAAACAATGAAAAAGAGGTGTGGAATTGGGATGGAATTTCTATTCCTAGGGAGAGGGGTAGGAATTTCTATTTCATGTGTTAAAAAAAAAAGTTAATTGGCTATCCATTTGAATTCCGAACCATTTGGAACTGTTGATGATAAAATAATACATAACACATCAGAATTCAGAATTCTCATCTTTCATGCCCTGGCCTGAATCCTGATACACAGGCCAAGCAAAAAAAAAAAAAAAAAAAGTTGTATAAATCTGTAATCATTTGTCAATATATTTCTATTAAAATTAAAGAAAAGAACACCATATATCCTATATATAAAGATTGCATTTTTTTTTTCTGCTAATTCTAGAACTAAAACAGAAGCAATTCAAGAAGACATGATAAGAATTGAAGAACTAGCTAGCGCAAGCTTCCGTTCTTGCCGGAGGAGGGATGAACGCGGAGTCGAGATCAGGCGGGTTGAAGAACAAGCTTCCATTAATATTATTCTTGGGCTGGTTGCGCCGCCGTCTGCGCTTCTTCCTCGGCGCCGGCGGACACACCGTCGGCTCCGGTATTCGACACTCCGGGTTCTTCGGCGTCGTGCATTCGCCGTAGTCTTCCGTCGTCGTCTCCATCTCAAATCTCTTCTCCCAGACGACCTGGAATGAATGAATGAATGAATGAGGGTATTTATAAGTGAAAGAAAGAACGCCGTTTGTTCAATAATGGGGTGGCACCGATATTTCAATAATCATTCAAAATACCATATTTGGCATCCATCCTCATTTTACCTCTCATATTTATTACTTTATCTGTTTATTTTATGGACAGATTAGGCTCTGAGTACGTGCCCACTCTGCACGTGATGTGCACGAATCTATATCCATAATTTTTATAATATAAATTCATAATTTTTAGAATTTTAGTGAGTTAAAATTTATACCGTAAAAGAAATAGTATTTTTATAATTAAGATTAATTAACAAGTTAATAAATAAAAAGTTATTAAATTATATGTGTTAAATACCGTAGCATGAAACGGTACGTGTAATAAGTTTGGGGCAGGAAAAAGTGGGGCACAGATGACCGCGTCTTGGAATAATATTCTTCAAGATTTGTGGTACTACAAATCTACAATGACCCTATCATTGGATTCCATTCCGATTATTAAAATATCATTTCAACAAAAATCATTATTTATTGATTTCCTTCTTTAATCCATTAATGCTCTTGTAACGTTGCCAATTTGGACATTCCATTGACAACTCAATCATACTTGATAGTATTTTATGTTTCAACAATTAAAATTTATCTGATTATCTATGACACATGTTTTTAATCTAATTCACGCCGTTCATGCTTACTAGTTACACATATTACATGTGATACATTATAAATACATTATGAAAAAAAAAAAAAAAAAAACATACACACTCATTATGCTTAATTTAAGATGGAGCATCACATGTTTTTTCCTCTATTATTTTGTTTTAATAAATCTCGTTACTGTAATTTACAGCTTGCATATTTATTATTCTATTTGTTCTATTTTACCTGTCAAGTTCATATTTCAAATCAATTTTTTTTCTCTTATTTTGTTATAATTTTTTAAATTTCACCCTTTGTTTTTAATAATTATTTTAAATTTTAATATAGTTGTTAAATATATAAATTTTATAGGTTAATACTAAATTAATATTACAAAAAAAAATTGAATTATAAATGATTTCACACAAGCCATGTTTATTAAACCAAATATATAAAATAGGACAGATCGGATAATTAATTACATATGTGATATGTAGTTGTTGATAAGATTATTACATACATATGCAAATAGAATTGAAACTTAAAAAAAGAAAATCAAAATCACTTCATTGCTGTTTTTTCTTTTTTACTTTGGATTATATTCCTTAAATAAAATACGAACCTTATTACATAAGTTCTCATTATCTATTCCTTAGATTATACACCTT